TGCTTCACCAGTTCTGCTTGCCTTCTGGCCTGCTGTTTCATAGAATCATAGAAGTAAGGTCGGAAGGGACCTTGTAAATCTTCAAGTCCAACCCCCTGCCTGGGCAGGAGGAAAACTGGGCTCAAATGACCCCAGCCAGGTAGGCATCAAGCCGCCTCTTAAAGACCCCCAGGGTAGGAGCCAGCACCACCTCCCTTGGAAGTTGGTTCCAGATCTTAGCCGCCCTAACTGTGAAGTAGTTCCTACGGATGTCTAATCTAAACCTACTCTCCAACAACTTGTGGCTGTTATTCCTTGTTATCCCGGGGGGCGCTGGGGGAAACAAGGTCTCCCCTAGTGAGTTTATAGACAGTCACCATGTCCCCCCTCAGCCTTCTCTTGTGAAGGCTGAACAGGTTCAGGTCCCGTAGTCTCTCATTGTAGGGTCTGCCCTGCTGTCCCCGGATCATGCGGGTGGCCCTTCTCTGGACCCTCTCAATGTTGTCCACATCCCTCTTGAAGTGGGGTGCCCAGGACTGGACACAGTACTCCAGCTGCGGCCTGACCAGTGTCACGTAGAGGGGGAGGATCACCTCCTTGGCCCTACTTGAGATGCACCTGTGGATGCACGATAAGGTCCGGTTAGCCCTGCCGACCGTGACCTCGCACTGTCGGCCCATGTTCATCTTGGAGTCAGTAATGACTCCAAGATCCCTTTCTGCCTCTATGCTCTCAAGAAGGGAGTTTCCCATCTTATAAGTGTGCTGCTGGTTACTACTGCCCAAGTGCAGCACCCTGCACTTGTCAGTATTGAAACGCATCCAGTTTTTGTTAGCCCACCCCTGCAACCTATCCAGGTCTTTCTGCAGTCTTTCCCTCCCTGCTAACGTGCCCACCTCACCCCAAATTTTTGTATTATCAGCAAATTTGAACAGGTTGCTTTGCACCCCGTCATCCAAATCGCTGATAATAATAATCGCTGATTCCATTCGTGTGTCTCCCTTTCGGTTCTTCTTTGTGGCTCTCTTCTCCTGCAGTCACTGAAACCAGGCTTTGCTCCCTTCCATATTCATTTGTTTTCAGACACACGTCCCTCAGCTGTTCCTTTTCCTTACACACGTGTGCTAAGCTGTTGCTGTTTAATGGAAAAAATGCCTCCTTTCTGCTTGTAGTGACCTCTCATCAGATAACAGTGACCTAGCAATGCTGAAGTCTCTCCTGGCTGGGCTGAGCCTGCCCAGTAAGAGTGGTATCTTGGACAGAGGCTCTGAAGAGGAAAAGGATGGTGAGTCCACATGGGTGGAGCAAGGAGGGAGGTTTGCTTCTGTCTCTTGCTGGGTTAGGCTGGTTCTCTGTACTCCCCAGTGGTGTGTTTTGGGGCACTGATGCTTCTGTGTGGACTCCATGCTGAGCTCTGCAATCCCAGCCTTCCTAGGACAGTAAAGGACAGCTTTTGAGTAGAGCACAATGAGAACAAGCCCTCCTGTGTCAGCAGGATTGAAACAAGTGCCTGGGAAGCATTAGGTGCTAATTTTGCAGTCTCTGAGCTATTGGAGCCAGAGCCTCATAGTGCTGTGGAACAAGAAGCTGATGTTACGGATTCTGCTGCCCACCATGTTTCTTCTAATGAACCAGCTTGGATCTTGTAAAGACACATCTGCTCCTGCCTCATTCTTAGTTGTCACCTTGGTTCCTCATAAGCTTAGGAAAATGGGTGTTAAAGATGCATGAGAGAGTCACTTCTTGCTTCATCCTTTGGTGAGAAGTGGAAGCTACGTAAGGACATTGGGGGACAGCGGTCAATGGGCTGCATTGGCTGAGAGTGCTGGACTTGTCTTTGTTTTCAATGTAAAGAGAATGCCTTGGAACTGACCTGCTTTACTCTGTCCCAGATGAAGCAGCAGCAGGCTCCCTCCCACTGGTCAGCATGTCTCTCTTCACCCCCCTCACCCCAGTGGAAATGGCACCATACATGAAGAGGCTTTCCAGGGGCCAGACTGTCGAGGGTAAGCAAGTGCAGCCTTTGGTAGCACCATTCCTAAAGTGCCTCACAGGCCTCAAAAATCTACCCTCTGCTGTGTGGTAGCTTTTCAGCAGCTCAGTGTGACATTGCTCATGACCACAGACCCAGAACTAGACAGAAATACAGACAAATAGATATGGGTATTTAATTGGGAGAGAGAACCTGGAAGCCTGTAGTAGTCAGACAGGCTCGTCCGAATCAAAATCACAGCATAGGTCTCTTTGAGGTGTTTGCATCAGAAACTGCAATGCCCTGAAGCCTTGCAACAGTGAGCTGTAATTTTTTTTTGTCCCAGTTTATGGGCTGAATAGGGTTGAATCTGGTCCATGCTGTGTTTGGAAGCCTCCCAGAACAGTTCAGGTGCTCTGTGATTGATTGACTGATTGTGTGCCACACTTTGTTTGGAGTTGGTATTGGACCAATGCCCGGGTACTGTGCTGACTGAAGAGCTGTCTGAACATTGAAACGATGTCCCATGGTGGCACATCCACCTGGTGGATCAGAGCATCCCCTGGTGGCTTTCACAAAAGATTAAGGTGTTAGTGTGGTATCCCAAGGAACTACCCTCTGCTTCTGTGTTCACTTGCATCCAGTATTCCTGAACAGCAGCATTGCAGTGTAGTGTTATGAGCAAGCCCTGCGTGGGGAAACTTCTACAGTAAAAGTTGCTGCAGAGCTGAAATGTCTGCTGTGACTGGTGCTAGCAGGGAAAGCAGCCTCTGTTGGGGCAGTTCTGGGTCTGTTGTATGGGAAACCCTGGTTTGATCTTCTTTGAAGCATCATCTAATTTCTTTGGGTTACTGAAGTGAAGCCACCCTCCTGTGGTCTGTGTCTTTCCCCCAGACATCCTGGAGGTGCTGACTGACATCGATGAGATGTCCAGACGGAGACCAGAGATCCTGGCCTTCTTTGCTGTGAGTATGACTGGCTTGGAAGCTTGCTCTCTCTTCTGCTTCATGGGCCATTCCTTACAGCACAGCCTGTCATGCACAGCTAACTTGAGGCTAAGCTTCTCCTCTGCTTCTTGGGTCATTGTTGGGGTGTTTCTGAATAGACCGGTTCTGAGTTTAGACCTTGCATTGCCACATGTGTGTGCCCTACCTCCTGCCCCTTCTCTGTCACACAGTCCCTGTGATTTAGTGTCTGACTTCTTGTAGATCAACGCCTCTCGGGTCAAGCTTGCCACAGGGCTAAACAGATGCTCTGTATGATAAAGTCCTTGGAGATAAGTGAACAGCTCTGCAATAGGCACTTGTGTGGGAAGATCAAACAACCCAGGGATGAGCAAGAGGATTGGGGTGGGCAATTCAAGGTGCTTAAAGCATTGAGAGCTGGCCAGTCTCTACAGAGAGACACCTGCATTTGATCTTCCTGGCCCTGACCCATGAGGGGCAGGGTCACATGAAGCTCAGGGGGGTTGTGTTCAGTGTCTCGCCACGTGATCTCACTGACCAGGAGGTTGGTCCATCTGTCTCCGTCTCTCAGACTAATCTACAGAAGCTGATGAGCTCTTCAGAGGAGTCCTGCCGGAACTTGGCCTTCAGCCTTGCGCTGCGTTCCATTCAGAACAACCCCAGGTGAGATCCGTGGGGACCCAGCAGTGCAATGCTTTTTTTGTTTTGAGTCAGTTGCTTCTCTCTCGGTCAAATGGCCTTGCGCATGCGATGGTGATAGCAAGGGTGGGGATCGTGCTGATGGTACTGTTTCATTCCCAGAGTTGCTGCAGACTTCCTCCCCACATTCATGTACTGCCTTGGCAGCCGAGACTTTGAAGTGGTACAGACAGCATTGAGAAACCTGCCGGAATACACCCTTCTTTGTCAAGGTAGGGCAGGCCCCTGGCCTTACACTGCATGTTTGGCCCCAAGAAAGAGGAGTTCTCTTGTCCAGAACCAGTAACCCTGGTTACTGGCTGTCCAGTGCCCAGATTAGCTTTGCTCTCAGCCCCATGCAGGGAGTACTGCAGGAGCCTGGGTGCCCAGCATAGACTCCTTTGCTGATATGGGGTCTCCCTCTGAGCTGTAGTGCTTTGTATCCATCTGTTGAGTGTCTGGAGTGCTAGATAATGTGTAGAGGGAGGGCTGGCAGTGACCTTACTATGGTGGGAAGCCTCCTCTCCTTCCCATTGGAAAGGCGTTTGAATTCTGCTGGACTGAGAGATGGGGAGCCCTTCCTCTGTGTGGCTGTCACTGAGCTGTTAGACCTGTTCCTTTTACTTACCCATTTCCCCTTCACAGAGCATGCGGCAGTGTTACTGCACAGGGCCTTCCTGGTTGGGATGTATGGACAGATTGACACCAGCTCCCAGATTTCAGAGGCCCTGAAGGTTCTCCACATGGAAGCCATGATCTGAATGTCACCATCCCAGGAGCTCGTCTTTTGGAGGAGTTGAATACTTCGGACTTGTCCATTTGGGTTGAATCCTGGGAGGAAGCATTTGTTTCAGCCTCCATGCACTGGAGTGGACAAGAGACACCAGGGAAGGCAGCCTAACTGTGAGAGGAGAGGGCTCGCACCTGGGCTTTCACCAGTAGCAGGTCCTGCTCAGGACATCACTTCTTGGGATCAGAACAGCCCTGGGCACTATGCATTAACAGGGACCATTCCTTCGCAGGCACCTTGGACAGCAGCTGTACTCTCCACCTTGGACCCACGGTGCTGTTGACTGTGAATTGGGGAAGGGAACTGGCCACAGGGTTCCCGAGGCTTGTGTTCCCTCCAGCAAGCAAGGGAGAGAACACTGAAATCCCTGCAGTGAGAGACTTGTCATTATTTTGTGATTCTTTTTTAAATTAAATCTCTCCTGGTTTCCATCCTGCTCCCTGATGGCCTGACATCCTCCTTGCCCCCAGCCACAGGACTCCTCTCTGGTCTCTCTCAAGTTTTTCCTTCTCCTCGGAGAGAGCTTCTGTGACGAACCTTCTTGCAGACCCCTTGCTGCTGCCAGCCCTCCGCAGCCACACCTGACTGGAGCTTCACAGGGGCTTCTTGTCCCCTGGTTTCTGATCCTCCAGAAACATGGCTGTTTAGTTTCCTGCTGTGTAATTTGTCCCTTGACTCCTACACCTGTCGGAGTCTCATAGGCACAAATTTAGCAGATAGGTAGTAGCAAGATGTGAAGTCCTTCAGCTGATTTCAATGTGGCCTGTTTGATGGGGGCAGTCATTAGGTCATAGCAAGCCTGTATGAAAAGCGCGGAGTATGGTGCTGACGGCTGTGTGCCACCAGAGCATTCTCTGTAGAGGCCAAAGCTCGTGTGGATGTGCAAACCAAGGGGCTGGGTTTTAGGCTTGGGAACCTCAATCTGCCATTTAGGTACAGCTGACCTTTTCCTGAACTCCTCATCAGCTGTTGTCAAATAACCTTGGAGGCTCCCAGGGTCATTGTCTCAGCCAGTGTCTGCTGCTGCCCTCTGTTATTGCTTCAAAGTTGCCTTGTGTGGGTCTTGTCTCCATCCTGGCTGGCTTAGGTGGCCAGCTTCTGCCACCTAAACCACAGGTATTGAGCCATGCCTCTGCATGCTGCAGATGGCATTGACCTGCTTTTAACTTCACTAGGTAGAGGCTGAGCTTTGTACTGCTGAGCAGATCTGCACTGAAATCCCTTCAGTCTGGCTGTAAATTTCCCTCTGCTTCAGGGCTACAGTGGCAGAAGGGAAGCTTTTAGTCTTATTGCCTCTGCTCAGCTGCTCTGGGGGTTTGTAGAAGGCCTCCTTCTCTGGCTGCTGTTGAATCAGGCATCTTGACAGTGTCCTTTCTCCAGTGCTTGGAGACCACAGGGGAAGAGAATTGGTTAGAAGACTGAAGCTGAGATAATTAAAAGGCCAAACAACTGCAGTGCAAAACCCATCATTCTCTTAGGTAGCCTTTAAAAGAAGAGATTAGAACAATCGCTTAATGATGCAACCTGCTCCTGTCTTCCTGAACATCTCCGTAGCAATTAGTTTGCTATAAATTAAGTGAAGAAGCAGCTGAAGAAGATCAGGTCAATGGAATCGTTTTCCTCAGGGGCTTGGTGACAATGTGGATTAATGCCTTGGGTTCCTACCTGAAAGGTTACAAATGAGATCTATCGGATGCTCCGCACTTAGTCCCTATTTCGGCCATCATTTGAATTGCTACACAGTCCATCACAGTAGAGAGGTGTCTCCCTCAGTTGTGTGTCAGCCTGGAATAGCTGGGAGGCTACGTGGTAGGATTTGAGGTGCTTTCATGGAACTGTTAGCGGGTGGGATGGGAATATCTTGGAGATGACAGCAAGTGGGGCAGGAGGAAAGGACAGGGCCCTTCTGGGGAAGCCTACATTCTCCCAGTTGGGGCAAATGGGAAAGCTCAGGGGGAGTGTCACAGCTGGAAGCTCTCATTCAAGTAGTTTAAGGATGGAAGTGGCTGAAACCAAACCACGCTGGTGACTCCAATTCCCAGTGGTGTTCAAGGACTAAGACTAAGTGGGTCTTGCACATGTGTGTTCCAGCCACCCCAATCGGCATGTTAGAAGATAGAGTGATCTGGTAAAGAGTGAGTGCGTGGACTTTGTGCTGTGAGCGATGCCTCCTGGCTTTCTGTTGTTCATTTTGCCAGCAGGTCTTACAGGATAGAGGAGAGGTGGGAAGGCCCCTGAGGGACCCAACCGGTCTAACAGGTTGGAGCAGCCCCTTGTTCTTTGTGGGACTGTACGCTTTGATATCGCCCACTGATGGGCATGGTAGAAATACTTCCATCGGGCTCAGATGCTTGTGCTGCTGTCCATGGGGAAGCCTGGGGACACCGCCTAGCAGGATCCTTGTGAGCTGGTGTTGTTTCAGGTTGAATTCACCATGCTGCTAATTTGGGGCCTTTGCGCATGGGGTTGGGAAGCGAGGTGCCTGCGAGCTCGGGGAGAGCCGTGGGTAGGTGCGGTTGGTGCTGGAGGGGGAGGTGGGGCTGATGGGGCAGAAGCCCAGCCTCTCTCACCTGAGAAGTGACAGCTCTAAAACGGTTGGTGACAGTATTACTGATGCACTGACACTGGCCCGCCTCGGTAGTTTCTAGCTGTGTCCTCCAGCCGGCAGGGCTCCTCCCGCACGTCTGGGCTAAGCTGACAGGACTGTCTGCTGCAGGCAGTGCCCACCTCCTCCCTTCCCCTGGGAAAGGACAGAGGATTCTTCCTTGGAGGGAATTAGTTCAAACTCCCCTGGAGAAACGGAGGGAGGTGCTGCTTAGGCTACAAGGTGGTCCCTGGCAGAGCCCAGAGTTGACCCCCTGAGGTAGCCACTAAAGCTGCCTTGGGATGAAGATTTCCCCAAGCCAAATCGCACAAGAACAAACCAAGTGTCCTAGATCCTCTGCTATTGCTATGAGCCTCTGGTGTAGAGATGCTCCAAAAAGGCTAGGTTGTCTCCCTCAACATCCATTAGGGCAGCTCCTCGTGGCTGTTCTGGCATAGAGGCACTTGCCCCAAGGCCTGACTCTGGCCTCCCAAGCACTTGTGGCCATCTAGCAAGTGTCTGAGCTCCAGAAGGAAGCTCTTTTCACATAGCTGCCACCAGTGACGCTGAGACTTCACTGGGCCCAACTGCTTACAAGGAGAGTCTCTGCATGGGGGAGAGGTCCCTGGGCTTGAGGGGTTATGTGAGCCAGCTTCATGCTCTGCTTTGCCCTTCCTTCCCAGGCAGGAGCATCTCTCGACAAGCCCTGGAGAGCAGGAGCTGTCTGCGCGGGCTGCAGTTTCTTGTTTTGAGGTCTGGAGTGAGTGAGCTGGGCTCCCCCCTCCCTCCTTCTCAGGTCTGGCTTTTTTCTGTGGTTTCTGCATGAAGGGCCATCTCATTTATCACGATTGCTCTCTGCAAATGATCCGGCACGTAGCACAGTCAAACTGGTGGGGAAGGATCCAATTACAGAGAGCCTGAGACCCAGGTGCTGAGCACCCGACTGCCTGTTACCTGGGGACTTGCCAAAAGGAGCCTGGTGCTGGACCTGATGTGGGAGGGGATGAGACTAGAGCTGGAGTGAGCAAACCTCTGGGTTTCCATCCTTGCCAAGGTCCAGGGTTGAACGTGGAAGAATGGCAAGAGCCTAGTGGGGTTGGTCTCCCCTTAGTCTCTGCACTGCCAAGGTCCTAAAGGGAGACCCGGGGCTGGGAGAGCTGGAGCTGGCCCTAGCAAGGATGGAGGTGCAGGGTCAGGCCTGGAAGAGCTTGGGGAGCCTCCAGGCTGGGTCCAAGGTGGGGGGCCTGCATAGAAAGCCATAGTCTGACACACCTCACGCTCCTTCCTGACTCCTGCCCAGCCCACAGCAGCCTGCTTCCTCGTGTGCTGCCTCAAGAGCAGGCCTATGATCCAGCTGAAAACACACCAGTCCCCACCCATTCTGTCCCTGCCCCTTGATGTGTGGAAAGCTTGTGCATGCAGCCCTCCCCACTGCTGGCCTGCATGGCTTTATTCCCCTCCCCACTGCCTAAAGGGAGAGGAAGAAGCTGGAGCAGCCGTAGGGCCTGACCTAACGCTCTGGCTCGGGACAACTCACACAAGCAACCTGCCTCCCTCCTGTGATCCGTAGAGGCAAAGGGCTTGAACCTTCATCAGGTCCCAGCTGCAGCTCCTCTAATCTCCCTGTCTGCACCCTGCCGGGGCATCCTCCTTCCTGTCCTTTTTGTCCCACTGCCTCTCAATGGCTCCCCAGGCACCATGCCTTCCCTGTGTCCAGCCTGCCTCCAGGCACATGTCCTTTCCCGGCACAGCAGGTTCCTTGTCAAGGAAACTGGGGGATTGCTCCTCCTCGGTGACAGCAACTGAAGGCTTCTCGAGCCCCCTCCCAGCGCCAGGCAGCAGCAAAGGTTCCTCATAATGGAGATTGTTTCTCTCTCCTGAGAAAAGTAACAGTAGTTTTTATAGCTAGTTCACTGCCGCAGCAGCTTCGGCGTGAGACTTTAGTACCCACAATAGGATACAAATGAAATCGGGCTAATCATGCAGGTGTTGCCCTGGACAGCTTAATAATGATAAATCTGCCTGGGCCGCCTTGAGCAACTTTAGGTCTGAGCACGCTGGTGCCTGGCCATTGCCCCTGTACTGGTGCCCAGCGACTGCCCTCCAGCAGGTCTGGAGGTCTGCAGAAGGCAACGTAAGGGCACGGCTTCTCTCAGCCTCTGCCCCGACCGCAAGCACCTGCATGGGGCAGGGCATTGACTGACACTTGTGGCCAGGTCTCCACTTGGACAGGTAACTGCTTCCTGCTTTTCAGCGTTGTCTCGTGCCAGGTAGGCCCTTGTGTCGCCTTCCAGCCTCTGCCCGTCCGGCTTCAGAGCATGTTTCTACCAGAGCCTGCAGCCCATCTGCCTGAAGAAGCAAACTGCCCTTAGCCCCATGCCTGGCCCAGGAAAGCTTGTGGAAAGCAGAGGCTGTGCCCCCTGCTTGCATGAGCTGCCCTAGACCACAGAGCTGGCACTGCCTCCCTATGGTCTGTCATTCCCTAGGCTGTGCCAGCTCCTGCAGCTGTTCCGATTTCCTTAGGAAACCCCCTAAGTTTGTCACCACCTTAGAAATCCAAGGTGGTGGCAATTCATGAGAGACCTGCCCCCTGCTGCCACAGGATTTGGTGATGTTGGGACATGCACGTCTTAATTCTTCAGCCTGGTGTGCAATGCCCCAGGCAACTATCCTAGGAGCTCATTAGAGCAGGTCATTTGTTCCTGAGACCCAGCTTTCACTGCCTTGCTCCTGAACCTGGTACCAAAGGAAAATAACTCCCCAGCCAGAAACAGGGTGGCTTTGGTCTACAGGCAGGCTGGGAGCATCTCAAGGGGCTTCTGCTGGGCCTGACTTCTCTAAGGGGACAACACACAGGTGTTATTACAATGGGAATGTGGGCAGAAGAATTTATTGGAGCCAGTGCAGAGGTATAGGGGGAAGGAATGATCTCTAAGCATTTGTGTTACCGGTGTGGTGTGTGCTGATAGCTCAGACCATTGCGCACGTCCTGTTGTGTAGTTGTTCCCTCTGTCCAGTGTGTAATGCCTTTGGGGCAGTCCAGCAGTAGCAGGGGCAGGCAGATGAATGTTGCTGGGCGGCTTCGGCTTGGCAGGTAATAGATGACTTGGAGCAAACAGGACAGACAGCAAAGCCATCAGTCTGACAGCAGAGGGGTCATTCGAGGGCCAGCTCATGATAGGGAGGGTGCGGGCAGGCAGTAAGTGGGTAAACAGCAGTAATTGAATTAATTGCTCTCCTCCACACCCTGCTAGGGTGGCCGTGTCTGTTCAGACTTTGCTCGGACAAGAGGAGCCTGCTGGGCTCTGGGAACCTGAGTTGCTTTCCGAGCCTGGCAGGAGGTGACCTTGAGAGTGCAGGCTTGGGGGCAGCTCTGCAGGGGAAAGGGGCTAAGGGCAGCCCTGCGCATTGCTGGCTGGGGAACCACGTGGAAGCTCCCTGCCAGCTTTAAGATCTGTGCATTGGTTGTAGTGGGAACTTCCAGCCCACAACAACCAGCCAAGGCAGGAGCAAGCCGGATGCACTGGCAGAACCTGGTCTTTCACTGAGAACAGCTTGGCCCTAGAGGAAAACAGGGCTTTTGTCTCTACTCTCCATTTACCTCTGGTCTTGGCTCCCGGCCTCTCTAGCACACTCTGTCCCCTGGATTTTTGCTTTTTTTTTTCTGTTCGACCAGTGGCCTGCGGTTTCCAGGGTTGCTTGCTCTTCATTTCTGTTCACTAAAGAGTTTCTCCTTGCTTGACGCTGTTACTTGCTCTTTCTTCTTTCTGTAAGTTCAGGAGGGAAAAACTGTCCTGTAGGTATTGGAGAAGCTGAGCAAAACCCACTTGGAAATAAACAGGAGGAAATCTGGGCAGGGGCTTTTCCATTAGCATATTAGACATGAGCTACTTTTGGGAGCAGAATACCCTCATTCCCTTGCTGCAGACTCCCAACAGAAAAGTTGAGGGCAGCTTGGGTCACCCGAGGGACAGAGCGATGGCAAAAGGAGAGTCCGTTCTTGGAGGGAAAGCTCAGGGCTCCAGCCGCTGTGAATATGATACGGTGTAAAGTGGTGGGAGCTTCAGAAGTCTCATTAGGCGCTGTTGGAAATCTGGTGGTGGTTCTTCCCATCTATGCAAACTCCTCCTGCAGGTGAGACAGCTTTTCCGGGTCAGCGCCAGAGATGCATTAGTGGGTATATTTACTTGGAAATTCAATCCCAGCTCATGCTTGCCTCTAATTGACTGAAGAGCTTCTTTGAAGTAAAGGAATCGGCTTAGTGTCTGAAAGGGCATGTGACTGCAGGGAAAGGGAGCTCCAGGTAAGGAGCCTCTTTATTTCCCACCTGCTGGAGGTGACTCGGTGATTGCCCACTCTTACTGCAGTTTGCCTCCTAGTCTGGGCAAATCCCGGTTAGCATTCAACTTTACTCCACGCGGCTGGATCAGCAGATGCCCTCTCACTTTCTAGATTGGTGGAAGACGTAGGGCGAGCCTGTCTCCCTTTGTGTCCTGGGCATGCCTGAGAGCACCTTGGATTCTCCACTTGAGCTGATCTCGCCTGTTAGCCAGTTCAGCAGCTCCCTGAATCTCTTGGTCCAGGTAAGATGGGGCAGACCCCGAGAAGGTGAAGGGGCTCTCGAAGAGGAGCGGGTGATGGGGTAGCATTCCCGCTATCCCTCTGCCCATTGCAGCACACCTTTCTCCCTAGCATTTAAGACATGGGATCATCTGGAGCAGAATCCAGTTTCCCTAGCCCCAAAATCCTTTTGTTCCTAGGGGCTGTTGCTGTTTTGGGTTTAATACAACCTGCTAAAAGGAGATGTTCTGTGTACTGCTAATCAGAGACAGAATCCTGTTAGTTCCAGAGTGGGACTCGATTCTCCTCTGTGATGTAAATATGCAATAGTACAACTGTACTGAGGAAGGAAGGGGTGAAATTAGCTCTGAGGCAGACGAGGGCGGGGAGTCTGTTTCCCCTTAAAGTGCAGATGAATGTGTTTCTCTTCCCCACCTCTCTTGTCTTAGCTCTGTTAACATCTTCTCCCAGTATTTGTGTCTTCGTGGTTTGCCGGAGGTGGAATTTGGTCTCTCTTGTGGTCGCAGTGTAGTGGCTGAGCCGATGTTGCAGGTTGCCTAGCAGACAGAAGATGCTCTATAAATAGCAAACTGGTGTTTTCTTTAGGGATAGACAATGTGGTTTGGATTTAAAGGAGGAAAAAACTGTGCCATTCTGTCTTCCCCTCTCTCGTTGCTGGAAATCGTGAATCAGCTCCCAAATTCTGAAGCCCACGGTATCACTGATGCACTTTAAAGTGTCATATGTGCTGGTTTAGGTCAGGCTCTGAAAGACCTGTGGTCTCCCTCTGGGTCTCTCAGCTGACTCCTAAGACCAGGATTATGCCTCCCCCCACATTCCAGGTCAGCAAAAGTTGAAGCATCTGTGGCTACCTCTAACCAGAGGTCTTTAAACTCTGATTGCTCCAATTAGTGAGAACCAGATGGGCTTCCCCAGCCAAAGCCACCCAGCTCAGCAGTGCTTCGCCATAGTCATGCTGCCATTTGAGTCCCTTGCTCTAGTCTTGAATGCTGTAATCCTCTGCTATCTGGCCTTGCAAATGCTCGCTGGCTTCTTCTGGTCTTTGGAGAGGAGGAGATTGGACGGTAGGTTTTGAAGTCTGCCCTTCCTGGACAAGTGGCCTTGAACTCAGTTCTGCAGATGCTGGACCAGACGGTTTGTTGTCTGAGCCCGCACAGCAATTCCTGTAATCCGCACTCATTCTCCTCCTGCCCTTTGGCTAGCTGAGACCTGGACATCTCCCCAGAGAGTCTTCTGTGAGGTGTCCAGCCAGAAAGACTTATCCTGCTTATGTTTGTTCACCAGGTGACAAACCAGTAGGAATATCACACTGGTCCCAGAGTTTCGCTTTCCTTCAAACTTGAGCATGCTCTTGAGTTCTCCATTCCTCCAAGATGCAAAGCCAGCAGCAATGGTACAGAGGTGCTGAAGGCCAGAGAAAAGAAAGCATGTCATAGTCCATCTCAGGCTGATACTGTTGCCATGAATATCTACCTTGCCTTCCCATGGCAGATTTCATGAGCACCATCCGTCTCGGTGGAATTGGCATTTTCCAGGCCTTTCTCTTGCTTTATTTTTCTTCTTGCATCACAAAGATCTGTTGCACCTGATGGAAGTCAGTATTGTTTCCATTGTTGTTTCTGCCTGCTAATAGAAAAGGTTTTGGGGAAGGCTGGTTTTGATACCCCCTGCACACCTACGCAATGATACCATGAGCAACAGCCTCAGGTAAACCCTCACCCCGAAGTGTACGCAGGCCCCTCATTCCTGGGCCAAGGTATCTCATTGCTGCCCAGCAGGGCTGGACACAGGCATGGGCAAACCAGGTGGCCACTCAAGATCTGGACAGAAAGGGGGCCTGAAAATGATTGTTGTTCATCATCATCATCTCTGGCAAAGGGGGGCCCAATGCTAAAAGTTTGCCTGGGGCCACCGGGAGTCTAGGTATGGTGCTGCTGCCCGGCTGCTTGAGATCAGTATGGTGGGACCTGCTGCTCGCTGTGAGCAGAGGTGGCTGGTCTTCAGCACAAGTGGCACAGACAGCCTCTGTGTGTGGCACCCAGCAGATCTGAATGGGGCAGGCAGCACAGCAGCAGATCAGGCAGAGAGCATAAAGCAGAGGAGAGATCAGACAGGGGGTACAGAGTAGGGAGCAGAAAGCAGAGCAGCAGATTGGCCAGAGGAAGGGGATCAGAGTGGCACTCAGGAAGGGCATGGGCTAATTTGTGGCATGCTTGCCAAAATGGTTGGCTGCCACTGATCTGTGGGAAGGAAGAGCCAAATTTTTGGAAGCTGGGTCTAGTTGTTGCCATGAGAGCTCGTCTCCTTCTCTGGGCTGTTGCTGGGAGGCCAGTGCCCTGTTGTTGAATGAATTATCCCTGGTTGCTGGGGGTATCTGTGACCCCCCTTTTCCAGTGTTTAGGTCCCATCGCTCCAGCAGGGACCCTGGGGTCACAGGTGGATTTTTATACAAGCATGATGGACTCTGGTGTTTCTTGAGTGCAGTCTCCCCAGCACTTTCCCTCTGATGGTTGCAGTGGGTCAGAAGGGCAGGAATCTGTCTGTTGTCTTTCCTCTCCAGGTGCAGCAGCTCTGCCAGAGTCCCCAGGGCACAATGTTCAGCCCAGGATACGTGGTGCCTCTGCTGCCGGAAGCGGCTTGCTTTTGTGGCCCTACTTTCCCACCTCGGCTCCCGTCTGCTCCCATCTGCAGCCTCTTCTTCCCAGCTCCTTTCCTCAGCAACCAGCTCTTCCAGCCTCACAGCCCTCCAGAGCCCTGCAAGCAAGCACTGCAGCCGGCAGGCCAAGACACGGGTTTGGGATTGGCGAGGGGATTCTCAGGTGAGCAAGACTGAGGGGACCCAGTAGAAAGGGGCAATTCCCTAGTTTCCAGAAAGTATCTTCCTCCCTCCCCACCCCCACCAGAAAAAAAAAAGTCCTGTGATAAAAGCACGTACAATATTGAGACATCACTGTGCAGAAAGGGTGACATCAGAGCCTTGTAAAATGTATTGGCTTTTTGTTCGTTCTTCTTTTTTTGGGACCATGCAATTGAATTCCAACTACCAAGGAACTGAGCCTGATGCGGGTAAAACAGAAACCTCCCTAACTGGTTTCTAAGACATGTCCCTTGCAAAAGGTGTGATAGGGTGAAGTGGTTCAAAAATGCTGAGGTCCCTTGTCCAGGGTGACTTGCTGCACTTTCACATGGTCTTGCCATCTCTGAATTACTTGTCCCGCTCACTACCCACACAGTCAGCTTCAGTTTATATAGCAGATAGTACAAGGCAGTTCTGGTATGGCTACCATAACATAATCAATAATAATGATAGAGCTTTTTTGCCATCTATCCCATATGAAAACCATGCAAAATCGCTAGGCATTCAGATATTACAGCTATGTGGGGCCATACAGCATCATCTCTCTATATAAGCATGTGTTATATTCAGACACCTATGCATGCACACACACACGCACACATTATTAATAGTCATCTCATATTTCTATATGAACATTTAACCCAAAGTCCTAGCAATCACTTCTGTCTGGACTGTGAAGTCAAATCCTGTTTGGTTTCACTAAGGAAGTGCTCAGATGGAATTAGCTACTGACATATAGTTACAGGGGAGAGAAGCTGGCTTATTTTTTGTGTAATTTAAAACAAAATGAACAGAAGCCTCCAAAGGAGCTGGTTCACGTTTGATCTCTGAATAATCAGAGACAGATGGCTTGGAGAGGCAGTGCTTGGGAGGGTGTGTGACTGAGTAACGTATTGTCGGAGGGCGCTGGGAGCAAGGAGAGCAGATTGGGGGTGGCAGTGCGGTGCTAAGGGGAGGGTACCGAATGCCTCTTGTGCGGGGGATGCCTCGGCTGGCCTGGAGTGGCAAGAGCTTCTTTGGGGTTACCATTGCTCTTGTGTTCCTTCAGAGGAAGTTCGCCCGCTGAAGCAGAGACGAGCCCGAGCCAACTATAGCAGCTGGCAGCTGGAGGAGCTGGAATCGGCCTTTGAGACTACGCAGTACCCAGACATCTTCATGCGAGAGGCCTTAGCCCTCCGGCTGGACCTGATGGAGGCCAGGGTGCAGGTAGCTCATGAAAGAGGGCGTGGAGCTCTGGACCAACCCTCACTTATGGCACCAGGCCTGTCTGTAGTCCCTTCGCTCTGAAGATCGTAGTGTGCTGAGCCAGCAAAGAGCTAATCTTCCTTTTCCCCTGGCAGTGAGGGGAACTTCTTGTCCTCCTCATCCGCTGTGGCCGTAGGCTAGGACTTGGCTGTACATGCAGCTGTATCACTCCCCCTTTGCTCAGATCTCTGTGCATATTGCCGGTCTTGTCCATTCAGCTGGAGCATCTACAGCGGTGACAAGGGACCTCAACTTGGGCTGGGGAAGGAGAAAGGTAGATATGAGGTTTTAGAAGGTGAGATTAGCTCTGCCTGACTCTTGGATCCAGTGATAGAAGAGCCGTATGGGAACATGCCAGCCACAGGTCAGGACAGGGAAATAGCTGGAGCAGTGATTGGCTTCTCTCTCAGGGCTAGAAAATCGTTAAGGAGGAAGAGTTCCCATGGCAGTATCCGCCCAGCACATCCCCAGCTCTCTAGCCTGTGTTTCCCCTCTCTTCCCCCCAGCCTTGATAGGAGCCCTGTTAGCCGGAGAATAGAGGCAGTGAGCACCTCCTGTTTCTGTCAGGATGGGGTAATGACATTTGAGACAAACAGCTGGCCCTAGCAGAGAAGGAAAACATTTATTTTCCAAAATCGCAAGGTCTGATTTCCTGGGTGAAGGGTCAGAGGGGATTAATGATTTACCCTATAGAATTGGCAGCGCGTTCAGGAATCTGCTGGAGAAGTTGCAGGTGTGCACACACGAACGCATGATTTCGGCAGTCAGATCTATCTTCCACTTGAATGCTTTTCTTTAGGAAAAAAAAATATTTACCAGTTCATTTCCTGGATTCCTACAAGTGTCCCAAAGAAACCTGTCAAGAAAGATGCAGGGTGATGCTTTATATGCCCCAGGACATCTGGTTTGTGAGGAGTGTAGGAAGTCAAAGCCTGGCAAAATGGCTGATTACCAAGCCTTAGGAAATTATTTGTTTAATGCCCATTTCCCTTTGGGTTTCCCTAGGTTTGGTTTCAGAACCGTAGAGCAAAGATGAGGAGACAACTAAAGCTGCAGGGACGAGCTCTGGACCAAACCCTTGCTGGGAGCACTTCTTCCTCAGGAGATGCGAAGCCCCAAGACACTCTTGAAACTGAAGATTTAAGTGATAACTGTGGATTCAGAAAAACTGGGGCAGATCACCAGCCAGATGCTGATCCTGAAGTACAGGCTCCCCCTCGGCCTCCTCTATGCAGGGCAGCTATGGAGACTGTGGGCCCAGGGTCAGAGGAAGCCATCAGCTTTGGGGCCAAGGTTGGAGAGGGCAAACCTGAAATCTGCCCACCTGCAGTTCAGAACCAGTCTGATTCAGCATGAGATTCGCCCATGAAAGTCCTCGCCTCTCACGTTTCCTTGACCATCATTGCTACACCATCACTCCATCTAAAGAGAGTTCCTT